TGCAGTCTGCACTGTGATCACATCCCACACTTCTTCATCCACTTGCTAACCAAAAAGGGCTGGGGATGTAGCTCAGTGGTCCGGTGCCCTAGTCCAATCCCTGGTGCCAAAAACTAAAAAAAAAAAATAAAAAAAAATGAGTTCAATTCCCGAAAGAAAGAAAGAAAGAAAGAAAGAAAGAAAGAAAGAAAGAAAAGAGCCAGGTGCAGTGACAGTGGCTCATGCCTGTAATCCCAGCAGCTTGGGAGGCTGAGGCAGGAGAATCGCAAGTTCAAAGCCAGCCTCAGCAACTCAGCGAGGCCCTAAGCAACTTAGTGAGACCCTGTCTCTAAACAAAATTTTTTTTTTTTAAAAAAAGGAAGTCTGGGATGTCTCAGTGTAGTGGTTAAGCACCCTCGGATTCAATTCCAGGTAACAAAAGAAAGAAAAGAAAATAAAGAGTTGGCTGGGGACATAGCTCAGTTGGTAGAGTGTTTGCCTCATATGCACAAGGCCCTGGGTTCAATCCTCAACACCACAAAAAAAAAAAAAAAAAAGGAATGAAAAGAAGCCTCCAAGGCAGTTATGTGTGTGGCCTGGTACCTGCACAGGGGCTTCCAGGTGGCAGTGTGCTCCAGCTGTCCTAGATGCTCACAAGCTGTTTCTGAAATGATTGGATTAACTTGTTGCCCGCCCCCTCTATATGAACATTCCCTTTCTTCATATCTTTCACCTTGAATCTGCTTGGCCATAGCCGAGGGGAGAAGCCCCTTGCCAGGTTAACATGGATACCAGAGCAGAGGCCATCATCAGGGACCTTCCTAGAGAGGCCCCTAGATCTAGCAGGGAGCATGCTTCTGGGGGGAAAGAACCCCTGCGTTATGAGTTGGTTTACACCAACCCCGCTCACAGTGCTTAGAAGGCACCTAAGAGTCAATGACTTGGGAATTGCAACATGTTCCCTTGATTCGGTGGAAAGGAACTAGCTCTGGGAAAGGTACCACACACTTCAAACCCAATTCCCCTTGTCTGTAAATTGGGCGTCATTATCTGCCCTGGTAGAATTGTTGTGTGGCATAGCAGGTAATGAACGGAAATGGGCCCTTGGCACCTATAAAACTAGACATAAATGTTGAGCTGCTTATGAGCAAGAACAGGTGACAACCTGTTCTTCACATCAGGCTGGAGGCAGGTCTGAACACAACCAGCCCACATGGTGCTTCCTGCTGACAGCTGGAAACTAAGTTTGAAATGGTTTGTTTTGTATCAGCAGGACTTTCCCCAAACCGTTGGCTTCCTTTACCTCCTACACAAGTCAACAAAACGGCCCCCGGGGAGAAGGGCAGAAAGGGCAGACAGGTTTCCTGAGAGGCCACATCTCCCCCTGCAGACCTGGCCAGCCCCCTGCACCAAGGACATGGCCTCATCCTCATCGGCCCTCAGGTCTATATCAGATCTTCTCCCTCCTGGAGTACCAACCGCTCTGAGAAACATGGACCCCCAGCAGGAACTGATTTCAGGAATTGCTATAATATCCCCCTTTCGTGAGGAAAAGAAATGTGTTCGTGAACAACCCTTGTAAATCCGTGGGAATCCAAGTGCAGAGGTGGATGTTCTGACAAGGTCTATCTTGGATGCTTTTAGAGAAAGTCTTTAATTTGTAGACAACAGCAGAGCTCACATGAGAACCCAGAGCTGTGACTTCAGGAAGCTCTGTCCCCAGCCAGCTCAAGCCACTATAACAAAGTCCCAAAGGCTGGCCATGAAACAATAGAAACTTGTTCCTCACAGTTCCAGAGGCTGGAAGTCCAAGATCAGGGTGCCAATATGTTCTAGTTCTAGTGATGACTCTTCCAAGTCACAGCCAACCACTCACGATAGGCCCTCGTGGTGGAAAGAGGAAGAAGGATGAGAGAACTCTGTGGGGTCCCTTTTATAAGGGTGCAAATCTCATTCATGGGGTTTCCACTTTTAGGACCTGTAACCTCCAAAAGGCCACTACCTCCTAATACCATCACGTTGGGGATTAGAATTTGGCAGGGTGGGATGGAGCCAGTGGGGTGAGGGGACACATCCAGTCCATAACACCCTCCCACCCATGGGCACAAGGAGAGCTGGGCCAGCAGGTGCTCTGCAGCAGTGTTCCCATGCCTCCAAACACCAGGAATGACCAAAACATCCGTCAGTCCTCAGTCCGTAACCAGGGAACGCTTCCACGGAGCAGCCGTCACCAGCACAGGTGATGGTACAGCTGGGACCTCCCAGCAGAAGAGGCAGCAATGGGCAGGGTTCTCAGGGGAAGGGCAAATGGCAGCTTCACATTTGAGGGCCACCATGGCTGTGGCTGTCACCTTAGCTCAGAGGGAATGTTCAGCTTAACCCGGGTCAGGGACAAGTCTCCCCTCCAGCCACCATGCCGCACACGTGGAGTCAAGGTTCACACAGTTGTCCTGCATGGTTGAGTGTCCATACCTGGCTGGCAAACTCTGCTCCCCTTCGCTGCCCCTCTCAGCCCACAGACCTTCTGGCCTCCCCCTCCTGCTGGGCACCCTCTCCCGAGCACCCAGGTGTGCCTCTCCTGTGCATCAGAGACTGTCTCTGGGAGAAGCATCCATTCCTATCCATGGACTCTGAGATTCTGACCCATTCCTGTGTGATCTGGGGCAGCCTCAGCAGAGGGAAAGCAAGGTACACGGGAAGCCATCTGCCTCTCTGCTTTGAGAGGTAAGCTGGGTCCCCCGGGGTGGAGCTATTGGAAGGTGGTGGGAGCTTTCAGAGGTGGGGCCTAATGAGGAGGCCTCAGATGATGGGAACAGGTCCTCAAAGGTGATTGTGGGACCCTGGCCCCTTCCTCTTTCTCTAGCTTCCTAGCAATGAGGAGACTGATTTTGCTCTGCCCTATGCTCTCACCATGATGTGCCATCTCATCACAAGCCCAGAGCAACAGAAACAAAATAAACCTCTTCTCTTTATAAGTTAATTATCACATGCATTTTGTTATAGTCATAGAATGATGACTAACACATGGAAAGATGACTTATGCACAAGAGATACATTCTAAGATCCCCAGCAGGTGCCTGAGACTGTAGCTATTACCAAATCCTATATATACTGTATCTTTTCTTGTGTATACACATCTATGATAAAGTTTAGTTATAAATTAGATACAGTAAAAGATTCATAGCAATAACTAAAAATAAAATAGAACAATTGTAGCATATATTGTAAAAAAAATGCCAGCATTACTACTTTTGCACTTTGGGACAATTATTAAGCAAAATAAGGATTACTTGAATATAATAAGCACTGTGATACCCGGACAGTTGATATAATAACTGAGACAGCTATCAACTAACAGGTGAGTAGCACATACAGTGTGGATATGCTGGTGTACATCTGCAGTGAGTGGGAGTGAGAAAAGAGGGATAGGGCTGCTGTTGGTGATGACATGCTTCCTGGTGTTCAGAAAAGAATGAACCAAGGCTGGGGGTGCAGGTCAATGGTAGAGCATTTGCTCAGCATGCATGATCCCCATCACCACAAGAAAAGGGGGGTGAGGCATGGAGGGAGGGATAGGATGAGTCACTGAGTTACTTTGGAATAATTATTGATCATCTACATGGTCTGATTTTTGAAGTCCACACATATTTTAGCTAATGGATGAGGATCATACCTTTCTAAGTTTTTCAGAAATAAGTGAAAAACTGGGGTTCTGCTTAAGATTTCACGAGTCTGACATGTCCTTTCTACTGGTCCATGGTGTCCTCCCCTTCCCTGGGACAGACCTCCACCAGTCCTAACACTGCTGGACTGGGGAAGAGCCCAGCAGCTACTGCTTGGCCTCTGATGTCCAGAATCAAGCCAGCAAGGCCCCAGCACAACCTGCTGGCGCTGGGCGCTCTCCAGCAGGGATTGGGCTGGTCTCCTCCACAGCATCTTTGCTGGAGAAAAGATTGGGTCCTGCACCTCTGCCCCTCACCTCCCTTTCCTTCTCAATGCATCTATCCAACCAAAAATTCTCTGTGAAATTGTGGGAAAAGTAGAACTTTGAGATGTGGGGGAACAAGAGTCCAAGGAGAGTCCCAGGAGCCAGGAGCAGTTCCCAGAGTTTACAGTTCCAACACGTCTGACATCACTTTGGCTCCCATCTCTTCATTCCTTCACCCCTCCACTCATTCATCCCATACTGTGTCAGTCAAGATGCACACAGCACACCATGCAGAACGAAGCACCGCCCCTCGTCCTTGAGGAGCTCACATACCCGTGGAGGAGACAGACTTCAAACAGTCCCATTCACAACAGAAGGTCCAGAGGCTGGAAGCACTACAGGGGAAATAATTCGGACAAGGGAGGAAGAAAGCCTGGAGTGTGGCTGGCCCCATCATAGAAGACCTCTGAGAGGGCAAAATGGCAGCAGAGACTTGAACAAAGGGAAGGGTGTTTCCAAGGCAGAACCCAGCACCTGCTATGAACTCCAAGAGGCTGGAGATGTTACTTAGGAGACACAAGCCCCTGGGTTTGATCCAAGGCATGGCAGAAAAAAAAAAAAATCTAAGAACATCAGTGTTTCTGGTCCATGGGTGCAAGGAAAAGAGTTAAAGAAAATAAGAAGAAATAGCAAAGCTTGGACCATGGAATCCTTGTGGAGCAAGAACTCCAGATTCTTTTGTTTTTAAATGAGATGGCAATCCATTGAAGAGTTTTGAGCAGAAGAATGGCAAGGCCTGACTTTTCTTTTAAACCTGGTATCAGCCGGGCATGGTGGCCCACACCTCTAATCCCAGCAACTCAGGAGGCTGAGGCAGTAGGATCCTGAGTTCAAAGCCAGCCTCAGCAATGGTGAGGTGCTAAGCAACTCAGTGAGACCCTGTCTCTAAATAAAATACAAAAAAAAAGGACTGCGGATGTGGCTCAGTGGTTCATTGCCCCTGAGTTCAGTCCCTAGTACCCCCTTCCCCCACAAAAAAAATCCCTAATGTGAGCCCATCCACACCCAGTCGGCTGACTGCTCTTTTCAGTACCTGAGTCACGGACCTCTGGGGCAGGCCCTTCTCCCAGTCCTCTTCCTGGAGCCCAATCTTCTTTCCATCTCGCCCAGCTGTTGGCCCCATTTTTCTAGGGTGTCCACTCACCCCTCCTGCCTGCAGAGCCGCCAGCTCCACGATGTACTTCCTCATTTCTTCAGCCTCCCATCTGTCAACTGCAACCAGCCAACAGCTCAAAACGCATATTTGCATCTCACCTGCACCCGTAGAATGAAAAGGAGGGGACGGCTGTCATAAACAAACAATTGTAGGTTAAGAAGTTTAAAGCAAAGAGAAGGAAAGAATCATCCAGACCTAACTCAATATAGATTCCACCGCGGGCCGCGATGCTGAGATGCACACACTGACAGCAGGTGTTCAGTTGTGCTTAACGCAATGACCCAAGACTCTTTGTGAACAACTTTAGTTTGCTTTGTACTTTGGTGCTAGGGATCAAACCTAGGCCCTTGCTCTTTGCAGTCATTTTCAAGTCTCACAATAAGAGGATCCTTATGAAAAGAGCCCTCTACATTGCTTTGAAGAAATGAGGACCTGGGAAGCAGGCAGGGGAAGTAGCTCACCAAGTTCTCATGGCTGCTAAGTGCCACGGCCAGGGCTCCATCCCCAGGACTCTCATCAAGGCCTTTTCCAGCATCCCCACATTCCCTCTCAGCAAAGGCATATAAAAAGTTTGGCAATAATAAAATAAGTTTGTACAATACTTCTACCTAATGCAAATTAAAAAGCTGATTTGAGGAACAGAAACTTGGTGCATGTTGGCCCACCTACAAATAACACCAGAGAGAAAGTTGAATACTTAAAATAGACAACATCGCATGAGATCGCTCTCGTGAGACATTCAAGCATCATTTCTCCTCTGAAAAGTTTGAGAGGTTGCCTGTCAAAAATCTTATAGCCAGCCTTGGAATTTTAAAGACTAAGGTGAGCTTCTCCTGTACACCATTAAAATAAGCAATATTTGCGGTGGGTGATTGTTTGCAAAACATTATGATTACCCAGCCCCATGTGTTCTTCACAAAAATCCTGTGAAGGACTGAGAATCTGTACCATCTTTATCCCCATTCCCTGGGCAAGGACACTGAAGCTCAGGGAAATTAAATGACTTCTTAAAATCACACGATTGAGCCTTGAACCCCAGAATGCTGATTCTTTTTATACAGGATAGTAGAAACTGAAGCTTGGGGTGAAGATGATGATGCAGACTTGAATTCTGACCTTGCCGCATACTTATTCCCCATTCTTGGGCAACTTACTGCACAGATCCTCAGTTGATTCACCTATAAAATAGCAAGAATAAAATCTGCATGGCAGCTGCCATGGAGATTCATGGAGAGAATGTATGAAAAAGGCCCGGTTTGGTTCCTAACACAAAACAGGCACTCAGACAAGTGGTTTTTGTTATTACTGATATATGTGACTTCTTTTTATTATTCTCATTCACAGGTTGTCTAGATTTTTATTACACAACACACAGCTTAAAGACACAGAGAGTTCCTCCTTTCCTCTGGCCTCACTCCCTGATTCATTGTTTTGGGTTCTTATTAAGAAATATCATGGCCTGATGCTGTGGTTTGTCCCCCAAATACTTGTGTGCTAAAAGCTGGGTCCCCAGTGTGGTGGTATGTGAGAGGTGGTAAAACCTTTAAGAGTTGGGGCCTAGTAGAAGGTAGTTCACAGGACACCACCCCTGAAAGAGACTAATGCAGGTCTCATGGGACTGGATTTTTTCTCATGAGAATGAGTATTATAAGGGAGGCTGACACCTTCCCTGAATCCCTTTCCCATGTGTACCATTTGCCACTCATGTACACCTTCCTGCCATCATGATGTCATATACCATGAGGGCTTCACCAGAGCTAAGCTGATGCCAACCCTGTGCTCTTGAACTTCCAGAACTAGGAACCAAATAAATATCTTTTCTTTATAAAGCTCCCATCCTCTGGAATTTTATTATAGCAACAGAACCCAGATCCTGGTTTAAGCAGAGATTCACTTACTAAAAGAATCAGTTGAAGCCAGGCATGGTGGCACACGCTTTTAATCCCAACGGCTAGGGAGGCTGAGGCAGGAGGATCACGAATTCAAAGCCAGCCTCAGCAAAAGCAAGGCACTAAGCAACTCAGTGAGACCCTGTCTCTAAACAAAATGCAAAATAGGGCTGGGCATGTGGCTTAGTGGTTGAGTGCCCCAGGTTCCATCCCCATTACCAAAAAAAAAAAAAACCAGAAAGAAAAAGAATCAGTTCATAGGCTCACCAGAAAGTAAATATGAAAGAAAAGAGAGCCAGCACTTCATTTATTCATGCAATAAATAGTAATAAAGTGGCTGCTATAAGCCAAGTTTTAGTGAGACCAATGGCTGACTCGGTAGGCAGGGCCCTTATAGTTATGGAGAAGACAAACATCAGACAAGTCTCTGGCAGCACCACCATGACTCAGACATCTCTGGTCCCCTAGATCATCGCGGGCTCAAAATAAGCAAATTGAAGCTGCCCTCTGCTTCCTCTATCTCTCTGCAAAATCATCTCCAACTGAGTGATCATCCAACCTAAGCGGAGAAAATAAGTCTTTAGTGATTCCTATCACAACTGCTCGCATTTCATTGCTGAGAATCATCACAGGGTCACACCAGGAGGACTGGAGAAATAATCCTTAATAGGGAGTCACTTTCCATCACTAGGTAGGGACAGCATGGATTTGTGGGGATCCTATGACCACTTCCGCTGCCCCAGAAAGAAGGTCAACCAGTAACCACATTTATGGAAAATGGCACAGGAAGGCTGGAAACAGAGATGGGAAGGAGAGGGAAAGGCCCACCAGGTGATATTCACAATCTTTGTTTCCCACAAAATAAGTTAAAAATGAAAACCCCTGAACAGACACATCATAATTAAAATTGTAATCCACCAAATATGAGTCATAAAAGCTTATGCATCCAACCCCTTAGTCTCACAACCTTAGTCTCACAGTCTATAAGGACAACCCTGATGGCTACACTAGGAGATGCTGACCAGTCCTCACCTCGAGTGAGTTTAAACACATTTCTCAGAAACTGGCTGATCAAATATGATAAAAATGAATGAGGCTCAGCAAGCCCTAATAGCATTAATGTTTATAATCTAAAAAATATACATAGGAAAACAAGTTTTGCCCCACAGGAATTACATATTGTTTCAAACTCCATGAGACATTCCCTAAATGTATTAAGCCACAGAAAGAATCACAACAAATTCCCAAGAGTAAGACGCTAACAGTACATATTTATGAACTATTATGGAATAGAATTAGAAAAAACCATGAAAGGACGATAACCAACCAAAATCTACCCTTTGGGATGTTTTTAAGCATTCTACAAAATAAATCTTAGGTTTGAAAGGAAATAAAAACAAATTCTAAGCACCTTAGAACAGAATCACAATAACAGCAATACATACATATCAAAACCCATGGGATAGACGAAGACGGAGTTCAGAGAAAAAATATACAGGTTTATGTGCTTGTGGCAGAAAATCAGAAAGGTTGAGGATAGATGAATCGACCAAGCTTTTAACTCAGGAAGGTAGAGGGGTGGGGGTGGGGAGACAAAATAATTCTGAAGAAAGCTGAAGGAAGGAATTAAGAGAGAGAGAGAGAGAGAGAGAGAGTAATTATTAATAAAAATGGGAAATGAAAAGACAATAGATTGAGGGATTAAATTGGTTCTTGGAAAGAAACAGTGGTACAGCAAACCTATGGCATGCCTGTCAAGAAGAAAGAAGAGGAAAAAAGACAAAATTGTGAGTCAAAAACTGTAAGAATGTTTATCTTTATGGCAACAGCTTAAAAATCCTTGATAAAGCAAACTGTTTTACTGGGAAAATATTAATTATATAAAGATTCATCTGAGGAAAAGTAGGAAATTTGAACAGAATCATAACTATAACAAAAATAAGAGATACTTAAAGATCTACCTCTAAAATAGGCAGCCAGTCCAGAGGGCATTTCTAGTAGATTCTACAAGGTCTTTAGAAAAGAAATATATATATATATATATACACATACACACACACACATATACACTGTCTCGGAGCCTAGGAAAAGATGGGGAGTCTATCTAGCTCATTTTCTCCCTTTATAGGATCAGCATAGTAATAATGTATATGTAACCATATTTATTGACCTACACACATACATACAACATATATATATGCCATATTGATATACCACATATACATACAAAGATGCAGAATTTTACATCTAGAAGTGCCGTGAAGAAACAACAGAAGAAAAATTAAAAAAAAAAAGAAATAACAGAAGAGATCATTCTAAGAATATAAAGATGTTTCAATATTAAGAACCTAGTAAAGAGATTAGCATAGAAAAACTGTATGATTGAATTAATGGATATTTTAGAGGCATTTGCTAAAATAATCCACTTACAATAGCAAATCAGGAAACATTTTAAAATAATAAAAGATATTTGTAGCCTGAGTAGTATTTTATGGGTCAAATATTACCAACTCCTTCCACAAAAGCCAGAAAAAAGGAAATGAAGGGACAAAGTGACATTGGTGGGTATAGGGGGAATAATGTCTCATGGTCCATAAAACAGGAGGGTAACTATGATTGACATTAATTAATTAGTTATAGATTCAAAAATTGCTGGCATGGGCCAATTGCGATGGCACATGCCTGTAATCGCAAGCAGTGACTCGGGCGGCTGAGGCAGGAGGATTTCGAGTTCAAAGCCAGCCTCAACAATGGCAAGGCACTAAGCAACTCAGAGAGACCCTGTCTCTAAATAAAATACAAAATATGGCTGGGAATGTGGCTCAGTGGTCAAGTGCCACTGAGTTCAATCCCTGGTATCCCCTGCTCCCCAAAAAATGCTATACAAAAGATTCTGAATTTTCCCAAAACAAAGAAACGATAAAACTTTGAAGTGATGGATATGCCAAATACCTTGCTCTGATCACTACAAATTGTACCCAGGTATTAAATATCATTATTGTACCCCATAAATATGTAAACTCAGATGTCAAATAAAAATTAAGATTTTTTTTGAAAGAGGGAGGGAAGTCAGGATAAGACAAGATTCCTGTAGTAGGACTATTATACAGTCCTATCACAAGGACTATATAATACACTAAGACCGGGAAACACTAATACTATCCATGGGCGGGTCTTTGGATTAATGAAAACAACCCTATGTGTTTGCACTTCCCAGTTTTCCAAAGGTCTCTATAACTAACAGCTCCTACATCCTTGGTGGTGATCAGGTGGGATGAGGTACACATCTCAACATCATTGATGGGGACACTGAAAGTCGCAGTACTTTCAGATTTCCCTAAAGACAGGTGACTGGTAAGCAGCAAGGGAGGAACTGACCCCGGGTTTTCTCATTCTTACTCCCTCTATGCCAGATATCCTCCCTCACCATGGGGTCTGCTTCCTGCTACCACAGACTGACACAGCACAGGTCATCTTCCCTCTGAACAAGGGAAGCCGGGCCCTGGGGGCCAACTGTGGTGAGGTTGGAGGGCAGTGAGGAAAAGAAGGAAGAGAGAAACTGAAGAGAAATGTCTCAGTGCTCTGGGCATCGCCCCTAGACGCAGCTGACCGATGGGGCTGTCCACTAGGAAGGTTATGGCTGTCATGTGCCAGGGGCTC